TAAAAGAGGCGAGAGAGGTGTGTCAGGATCGCGCCAAATGGAACTCCGTAGTCTCTGCCTACCCCTCTGGGTGACAGGCGTGAGTGTTTATGTATGTATGTATTTATGCAAACCGGCACTACAAAGAAGACACACTCACACACATAAACGCACGCACACTGTTTAAAAACAAGATGCACTACAGTTTCACACAGGCGTACAACTACAGTTACACAAAGAGCTAATAATTACTTTATAAGTCACTTACTGTTATTTTTTCTTCATAAATTTATCTTTACTTACATTTTGTATAATAGTCTCAATATTGTTAATAATTAAGGGAAAGAGCGAGATAGCCCCAACACAAGTATTATCAATTACATACTGGGGATGTCTCATTTATAATTCATGTAACTGTTTTGAGACAAATAAACATTTTCATTTACATTTTCATTTCAGACACTTCAATTTTATTTATTTGTATTGTATAGATTCTAGACGAACGACGAAGTGCCTTTGTACTTCTTCGTTCGTCCAGAATACGTAGGTAAAATTGTATAATGCTGCTATTTTTCGTGAGGTAAGTGAAGAGAACCGGCGACCCTTTTTGCTGTAAGAAGATATTATTGCATTCATCAGATATCATATTCATCAAGGGTTACATAACGCATCTGCCTTTTGATTCTTAACCGGGCATAGACGTGCGTCTATGTCAACATCATTCACTTACCATCAGGTGAACTGTACCCGTTTTTCAACGTAAACTGTGTAAAAATTTATTTTTATAAATATGTTTTATAAATGTTTTATAAATATATTTATATAAATATGATAAAAAAATAAAAATCATGAATAATACAAAATGTGATTTATTTTTCTCACTTCATTATATGTACATTTTACACCCTTTATTGTTGGTTACCATTGAGTTATATGTACTACGTACTAGAGAAGCCATTCCAAACAAAAATTGTTTCCTACTCTATGTCTTCGCGCATGCGCGGCAGTACCTAGTAGTCGCGCATGCGCGAATACTTTAATTTAATATAAAATAAGATATTAATATAAAATAAATATAAGAATTTAATATAAAATATCTTAATTTAATCTAAACAAACATATTTCTAAATAAAATGTAATAATAATTATTTTATGGAATTCACAAATCTTCAATTTACGCAATATTTAGTTTGTATGGATTGCAGTACAGTTCAGTTGAACATAGTCAATGTTCGGAATGGCTTCTCTAGTACGTAGTACATATAACTCAATGTTGGTTACTGTTAGTTATCGTGTCATATTCAAACATTTTTTTTGGTCAAGACGATTGTTTATTGATTTGCTAGGATTGGAGAGTTGGTACCTGTTCTATAATTATGGTCCAAAATTACTAATATTTACAATATATTATGTTCAAATATCTATTTGGCTTAGTGCCAAAAAAAAATCACAAAATTGACCACATTTGGGTGCGTTTAAAAGAAATATATATTTAATCTGTAAGTATATAATTAATCCGAAGTGTATTCTGAGTGATAAGCCTACTAAGGGCATGTCTAGCTTTGAGTTAGAGTGAGTACTTTGTTTGAATATGTCTGCAGCTAAAATATGTTTTTTTTCATCTTTCAGATACTTTTAAAAGTTATCTTTTCAAACCTACCTACCAAACAGAATGCCTCTTACAGGGGCCGAACGGGCAAAACGATTCCGAGAAAATATAAAAAAAGATAAAGGAAAGTATGAAGTTTACAAGAAAAAAGAATTGAGTAAAAAAATGTTAAAAAAGAATAAATGAGCTCAGCGAAGAAGAAAAACAGAAAAAAAGGACAGTGGAGAAATCAAAATAGAAATCGAAACAGCAAAAAAGAAAAGAAAATGTTTTCTGAAGAAAGAAAACAAGAAAGTAAGGCTTCTGAACTAAGAAACATTAAAATTTGTAATCGTTTGAAGAAGATAGTACGTTTTTTAAATAACGCTTTAATTAAAGCGAAAAAAAAAAATGAAGAAAGATTTTACTTACTAGTAGGACGAGGCAGTGCGGCGTACATTTCCTTGCCCTAAAACCCTCTCAGAAATGAGAGGAGGCCTGTTCCCAGCAGTGGGACGTAAATAGGCTGCAACTTTACTTTTACTTTTAGGACGATTTTTGAAGTTCTTATATTTTATAAAAGTGATTTGATAGATCTGATAGAGATTGATCTTTTGAATATTTAATTTTATGCCAAAACGTAACCCTTAAAAATATTATTAATATTAAAAGAACTTTAAGTATTGTTTCTTTATAGCTTTGTTTTGTTATAAATGTTTCATACGCTGAAATATTTTTAGTTTTGATGACTCAAATAGCTAAAAATATATCAGCGTGTGAATTATTTTTATAGACTGACTTGATATATTTTTTAATTTTATTAGTCACTAATCTTAAGAACATTTTTTAAATATCCATAAGTATTTTAATGAAGATTGAATTATAGACAAAAACTTTTAAAATTATAGTAATTAAGTATAATTCCCACAGTTATTAGTTTTAATTTCTACGTTTATCTTACAAATATTGTTGATTTGAGTGCTTTTGAAAGTTAATTTTAGTGTTAATTTTTTATTTTTTTTATTTCGTTCATAGAGTTTGATATTGAACGTGTTTCAAATATTGTGGTAAATGATATTTTTTTCCCTGAAATATCTGAAAAGTTACGTAATGGAGTTTTAGATTATCTATCATAGTAGATTATCTAAATTTCTACGAATAATTTTGTAATAAGCTTAGTTTTTAAAAAGATTTTTCTTTGAATTCATTCAAACAATAAAACTTATATGAATAATAATAGTTTTATTTTATTAAAACGGTAATTAAAAAAGTTACGAAACTGAATAAATATTGCAGTATGCGGTCTCTTAAAATGGATTTTTATGAATATTATTAAAACATTCTTAAATATTTTTACCTAATCGGATAATTTATTAAATTTACTACCGAAATATCCTCATAAGTCCATTTCGATTTATGAAAAATATTAGGGTCCGCTTACGTAACTCGTAATTTTATTTGAAATCCGCTCTTGTTGCTTTGGCTTGCGGTTGCTCAACTACATCCATTGTCTGCCGTGGTTGTGGCTGCGGGGGGGGGGGTTGTTTGCCTCCCCCCTTCCCTCTTATGGTTGCCCACCCCTCTTCGTTGATCTCAACGATCCTCGGGCGACTCTCTGGAATCAGCTTCGGCGCTTCCGGAAGCAAGTCGGGAAGTGTTATTCCTTGCTTCCGTGCGATCCTCCTCAAAACCGGACATCGACGATCATTGGCTGTGTGTGCTTTAGCGCAATTTGCGCATGTAGGTGGTTCATCTCTACCCCTCGAGCAATCGAGCAATCCCTTGCAGCGTGTTCCCCCGCGCAACGGACGCATTTAATGGGTCGGAAACAATTGTAGGAGGCGTGTCCGAACGCCTGGCAGCGGTGGCACTGTGCTGGGCCCACTCGTACCTGCCAGGCTTCAATTACGACTCCTCTCATGTAAAGTAATTCGTTTACTTTGTATAACTCGCTTAGCCTTTCTTGGCTTACGTGATCCAATTGCGCGAAGTACAGGCATCCCAGCCTACCTCTACGCGGAGGGATTGCCTTTACATAGCGTATTGGGAATCCTAACGCTTTGATAGCCTCCCCTATCGCTTTTGTGTCCGTGTCCACTGGCAGCCCCCTCATGCCCACTTTTGTGGGCTTCTCCTCTTCGGGGGTGTAGCAGTACCAGGACATGGCTGGTATTTCCTTGGATACATCGATGAGGTATTTCTGGATGGCCCGGAATTCTTCTGGGCTCTGGGGGGAGAAACGCACACCCCTTCCCGAATGGACGAGCGTTCGGAGGGTGACCCAGCTTCTTGTTGAGTACCTCAAAATGCTTCGTCCAATTCGGGAGGCATTCTGCTACGATCGGTGGATAGCTTCCTTTCTCGACATCTTCGGTTGGTTTTGGTGTATCTGCCACCTGCCTTGGTACTGCTGGGACTGCTACCAGTTGTGCGTAGCTGGTTGATGGACGTTGTCCATCGTCCGTTGTCAATCCAGACGGGTTTGTCGGCTGTCCATCCGAGGGGACTAGGGTAGCATACGTGGTGCTATCCCAGCCGTACGAATCCTCCCCCGCCCCCCTGCTCGTACCCGACCACGTTGCTACGTCGGTCAAGAGATAGGAGGGGTTGGTTTTCTTGGAGACGGTGATTTCGGCGGCGAGTTATACTTCCTCACTTCAACCGCTGGTAGTTGGTCTTCTTCGTCGGATGATGGAGGTGCTGATGAGTTCGAAGACACGACGCATTGCCTCTTCTCAAATAAGGATGCTTCTGTTTCGGGTGGCGTATGCCTCCTGGCCGATTTCTTCGCCCGCTGCGGTAGGGGCGTCGGTACGCGTTCGCTCGTGCACTCAGGCGCGGTGAGCGTGAGCGCGGCGCTCGATGCGGGCTCCTTGGGCGGCGAAGTAGGCTTTCTTGTGGTCATGGGAATATGGCTGAACGAGTTCACGATCCTGGAGCGTTCCGGGTTCGCGAGGTCGCTAACCAGGAGCGGACGATCCAATACCCCAGGACGATCCGGTGGTTTCCTAACGCGAGGGGGTGGGGGGGGGCTCCCCCTTTCCCCTGCCGGTTATTACAGCTGTTACTACTGTTTTGTGATTGTATAGTGCGTGTCCTATCTGTGATCCCTACCTAGCAGGCTGACGAGTGACTGACGTGCGTCGCGAGGTACAGAACGGTGGAGAATAGAGGGTGGCTACAACACTTGGGGCACTGCCTACCCCTTTCGTTACGAAAGGGTTGGGGGAAGTGCTAGAGGTGGCACTTAAAATCGCGACTGGACACTTAGAAGCCGAGAACGCTCTTAAGTGCCAAGAATCTGCCTAAGGGCCGGTGACCTCGACACCTCACGGAGTATGCGGACTCAACGATCGGTGGAGTATGTCGTACCGGCGGCTGCTTGGGACCACTGCTAATCCTCAAACAGCACACACTTAGGAGATCCTTGTCAATGGTTCTTGGCTGCCTTTTCGCCGGCTCTATTATCGATAGACTTTGGAGAAAACCGGGCCACGTTATCTTGGCTTTTTCTTTCACTGTCAGTTGGCTGATTCAAGCTTTCGCCACAAACAATCCAGTTATGTTATTGGGAAGATTTTTTAATGGAATATGTTCTGGTGCAATAAGACCGATTAATTTAGTATATTTAGGAGAAATTTCAGATCCAAAATACAGGGGACTTATGCTTTTTACTCCACCATTAACTCTAAATGCTGGTATAATATTAAACTATGCATTAGGCGCTTTTGTTTTTTGGAGAACAAATTCTTTACTTTGCTATTCTCCAAGCATCATATCTATAGTTCTACTCTTGATTTTAAAAGAAAGCCCTTTATGGTTAATTTCAAAAAGAAAGATAAATGAAGGATTAGAAATATTTAAGTGGTTTAGAGGGGAGACAGAAGCAGCAGAAAAAGAATTAAAATCGATATTAGAAAAGCAAAAAGTTAAAACTTCAAATGTATCTATGAAGGATTATTTGAAAAAGGATTTTATAAGACCTCTCTTGATTTCCTTCTTTCTATCAATAGCTTCGCAATGTAATGGAGCTAATGTCATAACGTTTTATGCGCAAGATATTCTTGGAAACCTTATTCCAAACGACTTCAATCCCTTCACGCTAATGATTACAACGGATTGCGTGAGATTATTTGCAGCTCTTGTAATAATTTTTTTCGGAAATCGCTTCCCAAGGAAAATATTGTTTATGGTATGCATTTTTGGAGCTTCTCTGTTGCTTTGTGGTTTATTAGGTTTATTATATTTATATTATACAGAATTAAAATGGCTGTTGATTGCATTATTAATAGCCTATGTAATACTAGCTAGTTTCTCGGTAACATTTGCCTGGTATTTTGTGACCGAGTTGTATCCTTCTAAATTAAGAGGGACAGGATCAGGTGTGAGCGACAATCGCATATTTATTGTTGTTTGTTACGGTTAAAATAACACCAGGAATAATGTCAGCATTTGGAGAAAAAAAATTTGTTTTCGGTTTCGCAGCTATAACGACTTTAAATGCAATCGTGTGTGTTTCTTATTGCCTGAAACTAGTGGAAGAAGCCTACAAGACATAGAAGACGGATATGATAAGAAAAATATTATTGTATCTAAATTATAACACAATAAAATTTTAATAAAAATTAATAAAAAATGTGGAATAGTTATTACTGTAATTTGACCAGTGTTCATGGTTATTAATAAACGAGATAATTCAAGGTCTGGGTAAATACACACAAATACACGAGCAATCTGATTTTGATCCTCGAAGCGGAATAACAGAATTTGTATATTATAATTTTAATGCTTAACCACATGCTGCGTGCGTACAGCTAAGATAAACAACATAAGGATCTACAAAGCCCGTCAACTGGAGTCACGTGGCCACGTATGTGGCATGTATGCTGGTGTCCATCGTAAGTATGTTGTGTAGTGAGCTAGATAACCGTCAACTGACAAACAAACTAGTTCTAATTTAAACAAAGAAGTCCCACAAATGTATTGACTAGTCAAACCTGTTATTTATTACAGTGGATCTGTATCTTCCTCTACATATTGTAGTACATCAGTGGGTGGGTGACTTCTTCTTGCCAACAAAAAAGCAAGAGAATAGTATTAACACACACGGACACCTAGATAGAAAAGAAATCCAAGGACCCAGTTATTACTAGACTAAACTTGCTGGAACCATTGAGTTATATGTACTACGTACTAGAGAAACCATTCCAAACAAAAATTGTGCGCTACTCTATGTCTTCGCGCATGCGCGGGAGTATAGGTTGAATGGTAGAGAATGCCTTGAGGCCTTGAGGCGTTATGTCCGCCCTTTGTATCCTTTTTTTCTAAAGGGGCGCAATAAAGTTTTTAAATAAATAAAATAAATAGTAGAGTTGCCTATGCTTTTATTTAATATAAAATAAGACATTAATATAAAATAAGTATAACAATTTAATATAAAATACTCTTATATTAATCTAAACAAACATATTTATAAATAAAATGTAATAATAATTGTCTTATGGAATTCACAAATGTTCAATTTACGCAATATTTAGTTTAGTGTACGGATTGCAGTACAGTTCAGTTGAACATAGACAATGTTCGGAATGCGAAATCTAGCGCGTAGTACATAATATATATCGAAATATGTTTGATTAGATTAAAATAAGAGTATTTTATATTAAATTCTTATATACTAAAAAATAAAAAGTGTAGTAAATAACAATTTAAGAGAAAAAAAAACGCAATATTCAAAAAATACATACCTAATTTAAAATTAAAAATGTTTTACAACCGACTTCAATATAAATTATTAAGAACTAGCTGTTCCCCGCGACCTCATTCGCGTTTTAGGGTTTTTATGGTTTTGCGCGGAACCCTAATTATTTTTCTAAAATAAAAGTAGCCTAAGTTACTCCTTATCAAATCAGCTATCTGCCAGTGAAAGTCCCGTCAAAATCGGTCCAGCCGTTTCGGAGATTAGCCGGAACAAACAGACAGACAGACAAAAATTTTAAAAATTGTATTTTAGTTATAAGTACCGTATTTACTTTCATATGAATTTAGTAAAAAAAATAATAATTTTGACATTACAAACAGACACTTCAATTTTATTTATTTGTATAGATAACTCAAAAACTATTGGTCAGACCTTCATGAAATTTATATGGGACCACATGAGAAGCACTAGCTTTCAAATAAAAAAGACTCATAGAAATCGGTTTACCCAGAAAAAAATATTATGAGGTAATACAAAAAAAAGAACGTACAGTCGAATTGAGTACCTAGTAGTTATATACATGGTAGAGCCATGCTGCAGCTATATTTTAGTAGTATAGTTGTAGCACGAATGGGTCGGCCCGACCGGGGAAGGACCACGCTCTCACAGAACACCAGCGTAAAACGGTAGCTTGACTGTTGTGTTTCGTATGGTGAGTCTAGAGAACCGGAGACCCGTTTTACTGGAAACGAGGCATTCCATCGCCCTCATAGCCTCATAGCCCTCACGGGTGACAACGCATCGGCATTTTGATTCGTAATCGAAGATAGATGTAGATGTCTATGGGCCACAGCAACCACTTACCATCAGGTGGACTGTGTGCTCATTTGTCATCCTATATTATATTTAAAAAAAACCTCCCTTTTGAAGTCGGTAGAAAAGTTAACACGCACTGGAGTGCGGCGGACTAATTGCTCCATAATCCTCCTAGATATAGATCCTGTGGGATGCATAAAGGTTGTAACTTTACCTTACTTTTACTTAAGATTTATATTGCAGACTAGCTGTTCCACGTGTTATTTAGGGTTTTAATTTTGTTGCGCGGAACCCTAATAATTTTTCTAAAATTTAAGTAGCCTAAGTTATTCCTTATAACGTGAGCTATCTACCAGTGAGTCCCGTCAAAATCAGTCCAACCGTTTTGGAGATTAGCCGGAACAAACAGACAAACAGACAGACAAAAATGTTAAAAATTGTGTTAATGTTATAAGTACCGTATATACTTTCATATGCAATTAGTAAAAAGCTGTTATTTTGACATTACAAACAGACACTTCAATTTTACTTATTTGTATAGATATTTACAATATTCAATGAAATTTCCAGCTACCATTACTTCACTTGCTGTTCAATAAATGTGGTAGAAAAGGTTGATATATATCGTAACTGCCTCTATGTTTATAATCAGTTCACTTATTTTAGCACTTTGCACGCTTAATGGCTCTTGTGCTAGATCAAATAAGCCGATCACGTGGTTTACCTTGCAATGTTAGAACTAAAGTGCAGATCCATTACCGTTTTGCCCACAACAACAAGGATATTGTTCTTACTCAGTATTCAAAAGTCAAATTATTGAAAATTATATATTGTGTCTTACATTCTTTTCTATTTAGTAATTGCTACTTTTATTATATTAATTTATTTTAAGTATGTATGTGATAGTGTATATGTGTGTATGGTTTAAATATATTATGTGTGCATATTGACTTAAAATTGTATAATAATGAATATTGTTAAGTTTAGTTTTTGTTCAATTTTTATTGTCAGTGCCAATAAAAATTGGCAGCACCCATGGAAAATCAGCGTCGAAGAACTTTGTCAGTATCAAGACTATGCTGACTTGGGTATCTTTTTAGTAACCATTTATCAAATTTATAACATGTTATTATTATAAAGCAAATTCCTAAAATGTGTTACTAAATAAACTTATTTACTTTCTTTCTTTTCTTTCTATTGTTAAAGATAAACACATTCTTATGAAAGGTACCAATTGTGTTAGATTATTTTCAAGTTGGTTGATTTGTTTCTTTGGTAAAATCCTTCCAAGAAAGGAACCGTTTCTTTTCTGTACCTTTGTTTGCTACCACACCCAATATTATTATTAAACAAACGTATTGTGCATTAATGCATTAAACGACCCTAAACACGTATATTTTCCTACAATCAATGACGAAAATTGCTAAACCGTAATGTTTGTACCTGATCTTTACATAGTATAAAACGAAGTCGCTTCCCGCCGTCTGCCTGCGCCCCCTTTTGCCTAAAGGGGGTCGCTTCCGATTCGGCAGAAAGGCCATACAGGCCAAAGCCAGTCCCACAGATGGTGTTTAGTGAGTAGGCACTTCTTAGTGAGTTCCACATAACCACGCAGCCGGCTGCGTGGTATGCTATGGGCATTCAACACCTCGCTCCCCCGCTCCCGGAGGGTGCATTAGGTGCAAAAAAAAACGCCGTCTGTACGCTCAGATTTTTTTAACTACGCAACGGATTTTGATGCATTTTCATCTATAGACTAATTAACTATAGAATAATTCAAGAAGATTTATATGTATAATTATAATTCTTTGTTTTTTGCTTGTAATTCTTCCCTTCCTACTTATGGGGTCACCTGGATGGCTCTTAGCTATAGTTTGACCCGGTAGTATATATATATATATATATATATATATTAGCTTTAGAAAATTCACACATCTCTTAAATTAAAGCAGATTGTGGAGGGAGACAGCGTACCTATCTTATCAGATATTAAATCGTCGGAAATCATAATTTGAAAGATTCATAAAGGCAGTGCTTTTAAGCTGCAGTTGTACAGCAGCCGCCGGAAAGGCGCCTTACAACCGGTGCTAACTCCGGAGAACCCCTCTTCAGCACAATAGGATGGACTCCATTAGGCCCACTCGACTTGTTGACGTCCAGGGATCCTTTGCACACTGAGCACTGTGTAAACCGCACATCCAGCATGGAACTATCACACAGCGGGATAGTCAGCGGTATGAACCCCCCGTCATCGAGAGTCGAGTAGGACTCAAAAAGAGGATCCAAAAGATCGACTTTCTCTTAAACAGCCCTGGCAAAGCAATAATAAAATTAGAGATAGAGAAGAGAGCTACTTTCGGCCAGGAACAAAATACACTAAGCAGTAAAAAAAAAACAAGAAATAATAATTTGCATTCACTGAGTAATAACAAATATTCAAATGAGATATTAATACATGACAGCGTAAAAATCGACTGAGCAGATGTCGACAGTTGTCAAATCGGATGACGGTGAATTCGACCAAATAAGAGTAGGTAAATGTTATCCATAGAATAAACTGCCATTTATTTCAAAATGAATCAATTTTACGCTTTAGCATTTGCAATTCTATGAATAGCGAGACCATTCGAGAATTGTTACTGAATCAACCACCCTTAGTATGGAATAATAGAGGTATTCCAAGAATATTTGAAAGCCGTTGGGGCCACGTTTTTCGCTAGTATTGTAACGTACTCGCACCTGTCAACATAATAGGTTTTAGGTACTTTGTAATAATCTCAGGTAATAATTGTACATGGCAAATGCGTTTCGTTTCAACTATTTCGTTATTTGATTAAAAAAAACATACTTTTAATATATTTAAATTCGTGAAATGAAACGTTGTTTTTGAGATTTTTCAAAGAAATCAAGCTTCAAGCCTACAGTAGTGAGGCTTTTTCGGCGTTTTCGCTATTTTAATTACATACATCAATGCATTTTTTAGATATGATATCGATAATTTATATAAAACCCGAATATTCTTTAAAGATTTTTGCGTCCCTAAACACAAAACATCGGTTTTCCGAGGCAGTTTTAAGTTTATGGTAACTAAGTGTTGGAATGATCTCCCGTCACCACTACGCACTATGACAAGTAAATCGAGCTTTAAAAAGAATTTTATAGTCGTCACCTACTCTACACTCCATAGTCGTCACTTACTAAGAGGACAAATACTGTCATAATCGGATTATTTTTACCTAATTGCAGGACCGCCCTGTAAATTATACTTAAAATAAATAATAAACATTGCTATATTAGTAGGTGGGGAAACAACTTATATGAGATTAAAGAAGTTAGGCTTGTTAAAATCAATATTATTTTATAATTTATGTTACTTATTATTAGTTATATTGTTGTAATAATTATTTATTTAAAAAAATGTAAAAAAATAAATAATGGTAAGAAAAAAATATATTTGGTTATTAGAACTGGCTGATACTGGGGGATCCACGGTATGTACCCTAATATGAACAGTTGTGAATGCAATATGAGCAGGTTGCGCGCGTACTGTACTGTTCATATTATGTTGGTCGCTGGCAGAATCACAACGTTGTAGGCAACTGCAACATTTATGCTGAGCTCTACCCATTCATTACTACATTATGTAATTCTTGTCATTTCTGTATGTACTCATATTAACTTTATTGGTGGTAATGAATAAATGCTTATTATTATTATTATTTTTAAAATCATCCGACGAATTTTATGCGTAAAACCACTGAATACATTTTGACGAAGTTCACAAATAGATAAACTAGTTCTTTAAGAGGAATGTTCTATTTAATATTCAATGTATTAATATAGAGTATGAAATGCGAAAACACAAAATTGTCTTTGTCACGACCACGAAATCCTATAACGGTAAGCGTTTAACAAAATTACTACACTGAAACAATGTATGCGTGATATATTTTAATTGCATTAAATTATAAGATTGAATTAACTGCGAAAAAGCCAAATCAACCTTTCTTTTTAAATATTTTCTCTTACTCTCCCTGCGGATGTTATCCACCACGAATCCTGTAAAGTATGCGAAACATTAGAATATAAAATATTCAAATGATTAAGATTTTGAAATTAAATGCGTGTTGTAAATATAGGTTGTACGTGGTACATAAGTTATACGTGTTAGAGCCATGCTGCAGCTACATTAGTAATATCTATAGTTGTAGCACGAATGGGTCGCCTCGACCGGGGAAGGATCACGCTCTCACAGGATACCAGCGTAAAACAGCAGCTTAACACTCCGTGTTTCGTATGGTGAGTGTAGATAACTGGATACCCTTTTTACTGGAAGAGAGGTATTCCATCTTAGTCCTTACTGGTGACAACGCATCTGCATTTTGATTATTTATTGAGGATAGATGTAGATGTCTATGGATCACAGCAACCACTTACCATCAGGTGGACTGTGTGCTCGTTTGTCACCCTTATCCTATAAAAAAAATATCGATACTAGAAATCTTGCTAATAGGCAACTTGAGATTCGATTACATACAAAAAGGCAATAAATTATATACATAACAAATAAGACAAATATTTAATACTTTACCAAACACAAAAAAGTACGACGAAATACTTCACTATTCAAAAAAATAGCCTCACAAAAGTCATAAACATAAGTTATAAATAATAAAAAATCACAATTACTCTTTTTTCTTTCCTTCTTTTTCCATTTTTGCACCTTCTCGTATTCTTTGTCTAACTGGTCCTGTGTGTGATACGGGCACAATTCTTTCACCCTTCTGCGAATTAGCTTTCATTAGCGCTAGCACTGACAAAACACCGTCAGAAGAAAGTCTCGACTCGACAGCTTCTGGGTTCACGTCGTCTGGAATCTTGAAACGCCTCACAAACTGTCTGGATATAAAACCATGTTCATCTCTTTTCTCGTCATGTTTTCCCTCCACGACGATGAATCCATCCGACATCTTAACCGATATCTCGTCTGGTGCAAAATGATGAACGTCGATATTAACCTGCCACTTGTCCTTGTTAGTTTTAATAGAGGATTCTAAATTTTCTGGCCACCACCATTTAAAGGTCGGGAACAGCGGACCACTCCTCGCGGATAATACATCTTCAGGAGTAATCGTCATTCCGAAAGCTTGGTCCAGAAGCCGCCGCGGCAAGTCATAGTCGAAGCAGTGAGGAATTAACGACATTTTACCGATTTATTTTCAAGCGTCACTATCGACGTTCGATTTTAGTTTGAAACGACGCGCGCAGTCTGCTTTTATATATTCACTGTTTCAATTTATTTGGATTGTACGTGAAGTCACGAGAACATTCTGAATACAGGGTATAGGATACATGCAAATGTACTACGTCATTTGTTTATTTTGATTTTGATATGAGAGGTGCTACTAGCTAAAAATAAACGCAGGATGTCAGTGCTTGTCCAACGCACATGTCCAGACGCCTTGAACGTGAAGAAGCCATATAATATATGGCATATATTATTCGTTGTGTCATATCAACATTTCCTTTCATAAACAAGCCTATCATTAAAGGTCAATGACATTTAATACCAATAAAAAATAATTTTTACATATATTTTTAAACTAGCTGTTCCCCGCGACGTCGACCGCGAGTAATTTAGCGTTTTTTTTTTTGTGTGGAAACTTAACTTTATTCCTTAAATAAAAGTATATCCTTTTAACATCAGCTATCTGCCAGTGATGTCCCGTCAAAATCGGTCCGGCCGTTTCGCAGATTAGCCGGAACAAATAGACAGACAGACAAAAATTTTTAAAATTGTGTTTTTGTTATATGTATTGTGTAATTTCATATGCATTTAGTAAAAATCTGTTATTTTGACATTACAAACAGACACTTCAATTTTATTTATTTGCATATATATATTTTTATACATATTCTCCTTTTATCAGTTGTCTTTTTTCCCTTTCTGTATATCGTTACACACATTTTTCGATTCAGATCCTTCAACTGGAATAAAGGGGCCTTCGTTGTTCATATCTCGCTCTGAATGTGAAATAGGGATTAAGGTCTCACAAGGTAAATTAACGTCGTAAGGTTTCCTCGGAGCTGTTATTGTTAATATGCCTTCCGAAGATAGTTCCGACTTCATGGTGCTAGGACTGCAGCCATCTGGTAGCTTGAATTTCCTAACAAATTGCCTCACGACTTGGCCACTTTTTGTTTTACGTTCCAATTTCCCTTCTATGATTACGTATTCTGGAACAGCTTTTACACGAATTTCCTCCTTTTTGAACTGATGTACATCTATGCTGATTTGAAATTTCTCTTTACCTATTTTAATAAGCGGTCGCAAGCTTCTCATCCGTCTTACAGAAGAATATAAATTTGGATAAAATTTTAAATGCAAAAAGGGACTTAAAATCATTGTTATTTCAAATTCACCATTAATAATATATAAAATACACTAATAAAGCATTTTATGAAATAATACTATTAAACGATCTTTCGGTTTTAGAAATCTAGTAACATCATGCTATTCGTTGACACTTGCAAACATGTCATTGTTTATCGTTGATTATAGATTATTAATACACACTTTAATGTTTTCTTGCAAATATTTAATTTTAATTTTTTTTCAGTAAATTAAATAACATCAAAAGTACAATGCAAAAAACAATGCAAGAAGCAGTGCATATAAAACTAAAATAAATTTATAACCCATATTTACGACTGCATATCCCTTCTTCAAAGAGTGGCAACTGGCAACACACTGTGTAAAGCACCTGTATAAAATATCTTTCTCTATACGGAACATAGCATATTCGGGGACGAGAACCGGCTCCTTTTACTGGTAACGAGGCAGTCCACCGTAGTCGTAGACTCGTAGATAATATCTATATAGTATATAGGGCCCGTAGTGGTCTCGCGCATCTGTGTTTTGATTCTTAATCGAATATAGATATCACAGTATCCATTTTCCGTTAAGTAGACTGTGTTTGCTTATCACCCTTATAAATAATTTAAAATTAACAACTATTGGTCAGACCTTGATCATTTTATATGGGACCACATGAGAAGCAACAGCTTTCAAATAAAAAAAGAATCATCAAAATCGCTTCACTCAGAAAAATTTATGAGGTAACACACATAAACATAACAAACGAAATTATGTCATTTTTTTTAAATTGAACAATTGAGGGATAGTTGACTAAGGTATGGCTGACAAAGTCACGGACATCCAGTTTATCCCATTGGGCTTCGGAAAAACTAGTTTGTCCTATTTGGTTTTGCCGGTAACATATATGTACATAAAGCCGCGTCTCCACCAAAGTTTTGTTACCAACTTTTGTGATCTTTCTGTAATTACCTAGTGTTGGCAACAGCTTTGTTAACAATGTCGAGAACCGTGTTTCCATTTTCGGCGGCAACATCAAAGGAATGCGCTTGTTGCTAACATTTGTTCCCTCGGTGGAGACGCTTGTTGAAAACATTTGTCGGCAACATCGGAAACAAATGTTGGTAATTTTTGTTGAGTTGTAAACTGTTGGAAACATGAATGTTGTGTTGTAAACTGTTGGAAACATTTTTGTAAGATACGCGGCTTTACGCCATAAATATCATGGTTTTTATAACTAGTAAAATATCGTATCTACAGTGAAATACAAAAACTTTTTGCAAGTAAGTATGGCTATTAGTGTCGTACGCGTATTTAGATAAGGGGTGTCTGTTATTTTTTTATAGGATAGGGTCACAAACGAGCACAGTCCACCTGATGGTAAGTGGTTGCTGTGGCACATAGACATCTACATTTATCCTCAATAAATAATCAAAATGTAGATGCGTCGTCACCCGTGAGGACTAAGATGAAACGCCTCTTTTCCAGTAAAATGGGCCTCCGGTTCTCTACACTCACCATACGAAACACAGCAGTGTCAAGCCGCAATTTAATAAAACGTCTCGATAATTATTTCAATACCTAAGTTAGGTATTGAAATAATTAAAGCGCTAATACGTTTTCTACTGGTTATAAGACCCCGCAGATACAGACGTTTTTAATTTTTATACGTGGTAGAACCATGCTGCAGCTATATTAGTAGTATAGTTGTAGCACGAATGGGTCGGCTCGACCGGGAAAGGAAAAAATTAAAAAATGGCGGTGTAAGAATATCCACTACTCCATATCATCCCGTGGGTGTTGTAAGCTTGCCCGCTTGCCAAGCCTGGCAGCTTTGGCTAATGTTCCCCTATGAGGATATTCCACATTCTTTAGTCTGTAAAGGTAATGGTAATGACTGAGAGCTGGAATAGCTAAATTAACTGGGAATGAAAAAAAAATTTGCTTACGAAGGAGGTTCTCAATTCGAATGTTATTTTTTATGTGTAAGTTACGCGATATCTTCGCAGATTGTGAACCAATTTTGATGATTCTTTGTTTATTAAATAGGTTATACTTCAAGGGTGGTCCCATATAATTTTAGAGAAAAAAATTTCACCCCTAAGAGTAGCAAATAAATAACTTCTTTTTTAGCAATTTGAAGTCGGTTTTTACCATTTGTCAAAAATTGTAATTATAGATTTACTATTGTGATAAAATAGGAAAATATATTGGCACGAAGAGGCTGCAAGAACTGGTCTTGCATTGCATCCCAAGTAGTTTGTCACAAATCTCAATCAAACAATCAATTTAACAACTAAATGCGCACGCGCGTTGAAATCTTGTGGTTATCGTAGAGTTCGTCGAAATGCGATATTTACATGTTATATACGAACTCTACTTTCGAAGGGTTTTGAATTATAGTATTATTTTTGTGTTAGCGTCTAAATCCAAAAATAATAGAATTATGTATTGAAATAAATGTCTAAATAGATTTGGTTTTTATTTATAGTCCTATGTAAGGCCACTGCAAAAGTTGTATTGGTGTGGTGGAAGGTAGCACAGCCCTCTTATCCCCGACGCAATTTATATTGCCTCTTAACTAAATTTTCAGTTTTGACAAAAATAAAAAGCGGCAGAGTTGAAACTTCGTGTGATATTAGCGGAATTCATGGAAAATGGAATTATCTGAAGGCATCTAACATAAATCACATTACCCACGTGCATAAACTATTCGATATTTCGAAACTAACAAATTACCAACTGCAGTCTAGGTATCAAAATGCTTATTGTTAGTTAGAAATTTTAAAATAAAACGAAGATTTAATATGAGAGAACTAGGATTTATTAAAAAAATTAAAGAAATAAAAATATTCAGTCTCACTGCTTACAATCAGTAATATTAGCGATGGATCGACTTTTAATTAATCGTACCAATTTACTTCTTGGGTTCTTCCCGAGATGAATCTTTAATTTCTTTGCGCACGGGTCCGGTTTGTTGAATGGGAACAGCTCTCTCATCCTTCAATGCTGCCTGCTGTTGTCTAGGTGCCACGACAGTCAACACTCCATCGGAAGAAAGTTTAGACTCCACGGTTTCCGGACGGCATCCTTCTGGCAGTGCGTATCTCCGAACGAATTGACGAGAAATATAACCATGCTCATCTTTCTTCTCCTCGTGTTTTCCTTCTATTACAATGAAGCCATCAGCAGTCTTCACCGTAATTTCCTCCGGGGCGAAGTGTTGAACGTCCAAATTTACTTGAAATTTGTCCTTATCAGCTTTGATGCTTGAACCAATATCACGAGCTGCAGCCGCTAGTTGTCTCCAGGGTCTGTAGTAATCCCTCGATAGCAAAGGACTGACGGCAGCAGTAAGTAGGTCGTCTGGAGTTAACGCCAAGCCAAAGTCTTGGTCCAAAAGACGGCCGGGGCGAGGCCAGTCACCAAGTACGTACGGTAGCAACGACATTTTTTCTCACTTATATAGCACTTGTACTTTAAATCTATAAAAACTGATCGCTTGTAGCTCTCCGAACACTCGAACTCACGATTCACTTGCTTGTTTCAAATTGCATGCAGTTGTGCTCTTTGTAGCCGTTTATATATCCACCGAAGTCGCCATCTAGTAGCGAGTAGAAGCTTCTCGAATCCTAAGCCGCGCGGTAGAAGTCACGTCCGCTCACGCACACATTGATAGCGACGATACTGTGACGAATGTATAACCGAATTTTCGTGAATGTTCTTGCCGGCTATTTATGTTTGTAAACAAAACGATCCTTCGTTATTATTTTTGGCCGACTTAAAAAAAAAGAAGGTGCTCAATTCGACTCTAAGTTTTTTTTGTATACATATATGTTACGCGATAGTTGCCAGCTGTGAACCAATTTTGATGATTATTTTTTTATTAAATAAGCGATACATCGAGAGTGGAACATTTAAATTTTAAAAAATGGATTCTACTTACCTCAGGGTGAAAAATAAGGGCTGAAATTTTTATTTTAACATTTTAGTGACATAGTTGATACCTTGAGGTTGTTATATTACTTGGTCCATTCAAATGGGTTAAAAAATTAAACAAAAAAAACAACTAAAATGTAAAAACAATATGGGGAAAGATGGGCAATAATTCTGAATTGCTTCTGTCTAACCGAATTTTCGTGAATGTTCTTGCCGGCCATATAATTATTACCCAGAGTAATAATTCCATGTTGCCGGCTTTTTATGGTTGTAAACAAAACGATCCTTCGTTATTATTTTTGGCCGACTTAAAAAATGAGGAGGTGCTGAATTCGACTGTATGCTTTTTTGTATATATAACTATGTTACGCGATATTTGCCAGCTGTGAACCAATTTTGATGATTCTTTTTTTTGTTTGTTAAATAAGCGATAGGTATTTCAAATACGAAGCAATAATATTATTTTCTTTTTTAATGCTTTGAAGTCTGTTTTTACTTTATTTTTATTTTATGAATGTAAAAATAGGAAAAAAGTTTTTTTTCTTTAATTAAGAGGTTCTTTATTTAGAAATATTACTTGATAGGTACCTACCTACCTCTGTAAAATAAAAGTGTGAGAAATAAAGTTTTTAAAAGTTATGAAAAATTTTAATACAGTGTAGGTAGTATGTATGTGAAATTTCAAATACCTAAATACTTAATAAACTTAATTATAAGAAAAATCGTTAGCAAAGTTATCTATATATTTTTTTCATTTTATGTTGATATATTTTACATAGGGCGGGTATTTCATTTTTATTCGACTAGAATTATCGTTACCAAGAAAAAACGACGGTTCCTTCTCTTACAGCGTACATATCTGGATGTTCCAGACAAGTCATCAAAATTATTCATCCATCCATCCACGATTACAGCCTATAAAAGTCCACTGCTGAACATAGGCCTCTCATAGATTGCTTCATAGGGAGGATTTTCCCATTGTTGTATTGTTACTGTTTATTTAATAATTTCACCTCTCTGTGGATCATGTGCTCCTGGTAGATTATCTTCTATAAATTTTACGTGGTAAAGCCATGCTGCAGCTATATTAGTAGTATAGTTGTAGCACGAATGGGTCGGCTCGACCGGGGAAGGACCACGCTCTCACAGAATACCAGCGTAAAATAGCAGCTTAACGCTGCTGTGTTTCGAATGGTGAATGTAGAGAACCGGAGACCCTTTTTACTGGAAATGAGGCATTCCATCTTAGTCCTCACGGGTGACAACGCATCTGCATTTTGATTTGTAATAGAGTTGTTGTAGATGTCTATGGGCCGCAGTAACCACTTACCATCAGTCGGACTGTGTGCTCGTTTGTCACCCTTATCCTATAAAGAAAATCCATCCATTACAGCTTATAAAAGTCCACTGCTGAACCTAGGCCTCTCTCATACATTGTCTCATACGGAGGATTTTTCCATAGTTGTAATGTTACTGTTAATTTAATAATTTCACCTCTCAATGGGTCATGTGCTCCTGGTAGATTATCTTCTATACATCCATCCATTGCAGCCTATAAAAGTCCACTGCTGAACATAGATTGCCTCGTAGGGGGATTTTGCCATAGTTGACACGATTGGCAGGCGGGTTGACGAACGCAGTTTGATATTTTGAGTTGCTAGCAGGATCATGCTGCTGCACATCACCTTCCCTCGTTTCAATTTCCCTCTGTCGCCTTTTACGACACCCACTGAACGATATGGGGTAGTGGATTCTTACACCGCCATTAAGCAGGCAATTATTACTTTTTATAATTTTAATTATTACTTTAACATTACTAAAAATAAAATTGTGATACCCCTCGGACAAAAACTGGCACAAGTCAGGTTACTACCCTCCACCTCAAGCAATTAAAACATCGAAGGTGAAATAGTTATATTTATAAATAATTATAACTGAACAATCTTAATCAATACTTGGACATGATCTTATCAACGGTTCCAGAATGTTTCATCATTAGTCTGTTAATATTCAGTCTATCAACACAAGGATCTTTTTTATTTACAATTTTTATCTACAGTACCTATAATAAAATACACCAATAACTAGAACATTCTTTATTAATTACGTTTGTGTTTGTTACCTACAACTCTATTGGGTGACCAAGAGAACATAAATTATAACGTAGTTACAATTTTATTATTAAAAAAATTCTGCACTATTACAAAAATTAACACAATATTTTTGTTATGTCACTATTCTATATTTTAGCACAGATTATACAGGGTTATTTTTCAAAGAGTTTTAAGCTTAAGTTCAAATATATAAATAATACCATTATTGCAGTTTTTGAAAATACAAGTACACAAGGTTTCTATTTTTATTTGAAATTATCCCAAATTGAATGTGATTTATGGGCAACAAAGTTTTTGCCTACCGCTGCGTGGGCAGCAAAATTGGTAAAATCAGTTAAAATAATGCATTACCACTCATTTTGAATTTAAAGGATAAAAATGGCAGAAAGTTCGATATATTTTGTAATTAATTTTTCTTCACCATTTGCCTATATTGCTTATTCTGAACCTTCTCTGCATATTTGGCCGGTAAATGCAAAATAACCCTGTATAATAAGTACTCTACGAAATTTTAATGTATGCAATACATTCCTTATACATTTTTACTGTAGGCACCTATTTTCCATACTGTTCGAGAATGTGTAATACTCATACAACGGCATAATTGCTTGCGATTGTTATATTTTTTTAAAAAGACTATTAATCTGTTCAGATTGATCAATTAATGGAATTTAAAGTACTGCATTAGTAGAATGTAAAGTAGTGTAATTAAATGTGCAAAATTTTACTTAAGACAAATCATGGAGTCATATAATTGATTTCATTTCTGAGATAAGATGAATTTGATTTTAAAATGAGAAAGTTATTTCGAGCCGTACAAAATTGGAATGCTGTAAAAAACTCAAAGAGTAAACCAGTCTCATGTACTCAATCAGATGCATGCCATGCCCTTATTGCAGTGTAATGTTCTAGAATACCTGCCTCAGTGTATGACTCACCTAATAACTTTTGATAACTGTATGTTAAAAAGTTCATAGGTATTATATATTTTTAATAAATGGCGACAAGTAAGCGCTTTTAATAAATAGTGCACGTGATGGTAACCGTTCCCAGGTAGTCCATGGACATTTCAAGATATCTTTGAATCCTAGATTAAGAAACAAGCTCTGGCGTCCCTGAAGAAAATAAAGATCGTCTGCTTCTTTATTATTAGGTTGAGTTCACTTCACCCATCAATTATAATATGCATGGCCGGATTACAGTTGTTGTAAGTTTAAAGACATGTTACAAACAAATTTGACGTGTATAATTTATTTTAAGACAACATAATATAATCGTTTCATTATTACGTAGACTTATAAAATATATTTAAAAAAAAAAACTAAATTACGTCGTTGGGAAATTTTCAAACAATGTATTCGATCTTTTTACCGAACTCAAAAAAGGGTTAGTTATCAAATTAACTTTTATTTGTAAAATATGTATTTGATATATAATTTGATGGCTCCGTGGCGCAGGCTTAGCAATGAATTGCGTTTTTGAGGGCCGCGGCTTCGAATCCCGGTTGGAATAAGTACTTATATAACCTACCAATGTTTTTTTTTTGAGTCTGGATGATTGTCCTTGTGAAATTTATGTATTTAAACTGCCTCTACGATACTGGAGTGAATCCTAGAGTGAGAGTAACGGTTTTTCAAATCCAAAGAGACCAAAGAACAGATATAATTTAACAGTGGTCCCATAAATTTAAAATCAGTTTAATGATCATTGAAGTAAAACAATTCAAGAATTTTCCATTGACGTAATATCTGTTAATTTTACTTCAATGTAATTTTGACGAAAAATCTTAAGGATTTCGACAAAATCGAACTCTTGGAATAATCACTTTATTAATGCTGAGAGGGATAAAATTAAAACAAGTTCTCTTAGTCACAGAATAAATCTTAGTTCCTATCCTTCTAGATCCTAGTTTTATTAACCTCCGACGTAAAAAGAGTGGTGTTATAAGTTTGACCGCTACGTGTGTCTGTCTGTCTGTCTGTGCTACCGTGGCTCTTAAACGGGTGAACCGATTTGGGTGCGGTTTTTTTTTTATTTGAAAGTAGGTTTTCTAGCGGTGGTTCTTAGACATGTTTTAACAAAATCGGTTCTGCCATTTGAAGATCATCAGCTCTTTTTGTTTCGGGTTTTTTTTTAATTTTCATTTTAATTTATCTTTATCAAAAATTAGGTAGGCTTTCTAGCCCCGTTAGCCGTTAGACGCCTGAGGAAGTTTTCAATAGCTTTTGTATATTATTTTAAAATCATCATCATCATTAGAGCTTATGAAATTCCAATGCAGAACATAAGCCTCCTCATAGTTTGACAAAAAAAAATCTAAGAACTAAGTAAGTCCACTAGAATCCTTGGTAATAGCTAAATAGCTATTACCTTAGATATTTATCCAAGTCAGTTCGTG